TATTTTTCAACAATATCACAACAGTTTAAACTGGTTTTTATTTTTATTTATTTTTTTGTATAATGGTCGTTATTCTACAATGCATTATTTTTAATCTATACTAAATTTGTATTATTTTAAATTTATTTATTATTATATCTTGTTTTAATCTGAACTAAAAAAAACATTAATGTAACTTGGCTGATTTAATTCAAGAATCGTTTAGAGGTTAGGCAAAAATAATCAGATTTTAATGCAAATCTCGTCGAGACGTTTAGTAGTAAAAGGAGCCTGATCATTAAGTGGAGAAATAACCATATATGTAGAAAAAGAAAAAAAAAAAAAAGAATGAAAGAGGAAAAAAAAAACTGCGGCAGCCGTTGGTCGCTTATACGTGTCACAGCTACAATTAGTCTTGGGATCAGAAATCCAACATTTGTAAACCAAAAAACATTCCTTAATTTCTTAATTATTTTTTTGTCCGCAACATCAACTATATTTAAAGTCAAAATTAAAGCAATATTATTCATCTCATGATGTATTGAAATATTTTTTTATAAATTCGAACTGACTAAATTAAAATTATTTGCAAATGTAGCGCTGTCGTACGATTTATTATTAAAAAATAAATTTAAAATATATTTTGATTGCAAAATTGTTAAAGTTGTATATATACTTACATACTTATATATTTTATATGCTTATTTATTTTATTTTATTTTTGGTTAATCTAGCCAATTAAAACAAAATAAACACAAACAGAGTAATACAAATATTTATTATAGAATAAATCTGATCTCATTACTCTATATTTTTATTTATTTTTTAAGAAGTCAATAAGTTAACTTCGGTAGACAACTATATTAAGACTGCAGAGACCTTTAGAAAAGAATCAGAAGAAATTATTTAATATATAAAATAAAAATCCTAATTAATTAATTACTATTTGAACCAGGTATGCTTCGAAGAGGGAGGAAAAACATTGCCATCAAAATATTTGAGACGGCACATTTAAAGTTGTGAATTATTAAGAGGGGGGTATTTTTACGGAGTTATGAATTTTCAGGTATAGTTTTTTTTTAATGTTTCAATTTCCGGGAACTCTGGATAAATAGCCCAGTCAAATTTGACATGTTACCTTGAAAAGGTCGGTTAATTAGTCGGAAAATAGTAAAACATGAAAAAATGATTGACTTGGGCAATAAAAACCACCAGTGAAGTCAAGTTTTTCAACTAAAATTAAACATCAAGCCTGTTTTGTAAATAAACGGTCAACAATAACGAAAAACGCTCAGGAATTAAATATCTGGAAAATGCATTTCTCTTTATAAAACACTGAATAAATTTTAAAATATTTGAAGCAGTTATATAAAAAATTCACCTAGCAGGCATAGTCTTCTGGAGTCCTGTGGCAGACCATTAAGTAGTCATAAACGTTTTAGTTATAGCATGCTATGATTGTATTAATATTTAAATGTATCCCTGATTCAAGCTATATTTTTGGAATAAAACGATCATGTAGTTAATATGCTTAAAGCTATAGAAAAAAAAAAACATTTAACGAATCATAAAAAAAAACTTTAAACAATGGGTAAACGGAAAAAAGTGATAGGACGGAACAAACTTTCCGGGAATTTCAGTAAAAATGTTTCTAATTGAGTTAGCCGACGTTTCGACCCAAACATGTCAGGGCTAAAAGGGGGCTTAAAACGGCTATTTTTTTTTTTTAGCGCTGATGAATACCCACACGTCTGAGTCGAAACATCTGCCTACTTATAAAAGAAATTTTGGCTGAAATTCCTGACAATTTTGTTATATCTTTATAATTTCAACAGTCGACTGCTCACCCGTATCTAAGGAGGGGAATGATTAATGAGATCCTATAAAAATATTTACATAAGCATTTTAAGTTTTTTATACACATTTAATTGTTAAGTTTATACACCTCAATGTGAGGTTTTCTCATCTCGAAGAACAATACATGGCTTAAAAAACTATCTACGAACGGCAACGAAAAAACGGCAAACAAAGGTTAATGATTTTCTATTAAAAATATTTTCAATAGTATGTAATGTATATACACAACAATGTTACGTTTTCTGATCCCAGAAAACGTTACTTTGCTTAATGTCATGTAGTTATCCATAATCCTCTCTTTTAATACCGTTATATAATCAAGCTTGTCAATATAGAGTTGAAACGCAATATGTGGATGAAATGGCGTCCACGTCTATTATTCGCCCCTGGGGTAAGTCCTTCTTCAAGTTATGAATGATCTTAAAATTAAAAAAAAAAAAAAAAAAAATTGTATATTATGCTCATATATGTTATTAATACTATATAATTGTAAATTAGTTTTGGAAAATTGTCTGTAGCGATTAATAAGTATGCTGTGTTTAAAGCAACCCAGTGTAATTGGGCAGCACCCTTTTATGATAATAAAGTGATTCTCTTATTTATTCTTGCTTCATGACATAAATTGTTATATTTCTCGATATGGTTAACTTTATTTTTATGGTTAAATATTTATTTATTTGTTATATAACTTATAATATGTAAACATAGAAAAGTCAGTTTCCAAGAAATGATATCCTAGTTTTTTTTTTTTTTTTTATGTACAGTAATATTGTTATTGACGATATATAGACATATTAGAATATGTTTTCTGTCTCCCTCATCTCTTATTTCGATCTTTGATAAAATATGATACTTTTAATTAAGCCAAATCAAAGTTGCCCAATCAATTATTATTTAAATATTTATTTGTCATTACACATTATTAACCTTGCATCTGATAACAATCCGCCTGTCAAACCCATTAACAAAACAAACTTATATGTTTATGTTGGCCTTAACTGGGACTGTGACGTAATTCTCAACTGTTAGGTAGCGTGTGTGACCGACATATGGTTATAAAAAAAATTTTAGAAGGCTATCTTAAATTTTTATTTTATTTTAAACTTAATTATATTTTATTTGAGTTAAAAAATTATAGTTATCAATAAAAATGAGAAGCTGTATTTAATGTGAAGGAACAAAATTTCTTTTAAAAAAAATTGAAACCGTCAATTCCATATTAAATTATATATTAATTTATATAAGGAATTTTTTTTTCAATTTCTTTTTATAATTTTTAAAGCAGAAACTTTTAAATACGTTTATAATAAACATTTTTAAGATGAAGTGTAATAATCATAAATATTTTAGCGTAGGATTATCCATTTGTTCGTTATTTCTGATTCGAACCAGCAAACGGATTCAATATAGTTCTTTAAATTATTAAATGTTCAGTTACTTAAAAAAAGTTCTCGAGTTTTAAACGGCTCGATATCTATTAAGAATATTTCGTCAGACACACTCGTGATAAAGATGCTTATTTTTTCATAGGACGGATACGTTTCGTGGCATTCCATCGGTCCTTTTATTGAGGCGTATAATGCCGACGATGAAGGTTTAACACCTAATGATAATCGTTTAATATGTGATATTAGCGGCAATAAAGATGCTTATGAACTATAAAGTTGACCCTAAACAGGGCGGTGTACCATATCCAATAAAGTTATCCTCAACTCTGACTGGGACCGAAATTGGTAAGTTGTCCTAAATACTCCCCAGTCGCGACCAGTGTTCTACAAAACTGACCCCGAAATTTAGTTATTTTGATTTAAATTTATTCGTTTGTATGTACATATAGTGTGAATGAATCATGTAGCCTTAATATTAATGCCCTTCAATGTGGCAGAATGTATTAATATTCAATAAAGAAAGTTTATTTCATAACAAAAAAAAAATTTATTCGTAGTACTATATTTTAATAGAATTATCAGTAGCGGATCTACGGGGAGGGGGGAAAGCTTTTGGGCTGAAGTCCCCCTCCCAAAAAGGAAAAATTAGTTTTTTTTTTATAAGTCCATATTTGTTACACTTCAGCTACTAACCATGTCCTATAAAGAAATATTATAAAAATTACTATTCGTATCATTACATCTTTAGTAGGATTTGAGGAATCTCTTAAACAGCTTTTTATATAGGTAGTTAGTTTCTTTATTTTTCTTCTCAAGTAATTATCGTTATATATATATATATATATATATATATATATTGGGCGTAGGACTGATGACCCTACCCCGTGTACTTAATCATCGGGATGTGGTCTATCAGGATGTTAGTAGTCCCCCTGAGGTTAAGTCCATGGACAGTCTGTTTCGGGGAAAGAAATATAGGTCCTCGTGCGCCTGCTGACTCCGAGCAGTCATAATCCTCGGATCCAGACCGATTTGTCAGTGACCTTGAGCCAGAGTGAGTCGGTGGGAAGGACACTTCCAGATTGGCCCCAAAGGGATCGGCTATGGAGCTACGGGTGGCCTGCATGTAGATCATGGTTCGTAGCAACGTGAGGTTGGGTGACCACCTCCGGGCTATCTGAGCTCCCTTAAGCAACATACGTCTGTAAGGAAACCACATATCGCGGCCAAAGATCTTCACGGTCTGTAGTGCCAACCGAAAAAAAAAGAATATATATATATATATATATATATATATATATATATATATATATATATTATTCGTGCTGAAGCCCCTAAAATTAAATCCTGGATTCTCTACTGAAATATATATATTTGCTTCAGACAAAAACATATAAAATAAATCTGGCTTTTTTGGCAGTCGGACGTTTTCTGTAGATGGCCCGTGTTGGTTATTTTACTTTTTTTTTATGTGTTTTTTTATTTTCCCCGTTTCGATCCTCAAGTTACTGGTCTAAAATTCTTTAAATAATTGGCCATTTTTATAAGCAGCGCCTATAAAATGACAAACAGGATTGATTGTACTTAAAATAACATGCACTTTCTTAATTAACATTCAAACCATATTCTGTGCTATGAGTAGCTCAAAATTGAGGGTTTGGAGTAGGATAAAATGGCTTTACAATTCTTACCGTTTTAATTATTCTGTTTTTTAAGGTCCATTTTTTTTTTCTTGTAAGAAATACATTCTTCAGCCGCCAGAAGGTGGGAGGGGTGCTACGCTAAGATGACTTGGCATGGCGAGAGGGGAGGAGAGTTCTCTCGGCCAATTATAGGCCTCCCGCTACCGCGAGCAACTGAGGCAAATCTGAGAAGATTAACTGGGATGACTATTTGACCTGCCCGGAGGCCGGGACTCCCACCTCCAGCAGCTAGATAAAATCTTTCCCACATCCTCATCGCTCTGGATCCACAAGCAACGCTACATCCCTTCCATCTAATGCTAGTCATTACCGCTAATACAAATGGCATAATTACAGCGGAATTTTCAGTACCCTTCCAGGAGATCTGTTGCAGACTCATCGTAGCTTTTAAGGGATATTACTTTCTCTTTGATTAGAAGGTGCGATTCTTGCGGAGGGTGTGGTGGATTACCGAATTCCTTTAGAAATTTAAAAGCAGAATAACCCATTTCAAAGAGAGTCCCGGAAGGAGAAGTATTAGCAAAAAAACGAAATAAGAATGAATTCTTTACTTGTTTTAACAATGCCCCGATTACTATCAGAAATACCTTTTTTTTTTTACTTATCAATTTATAATTAGTTTTATTATTTATTCTTTAACACTTTAAACATGGTTTTTCTCTGGAATACGTGAGAATTAACCCTAGCCAGTTTAGGTTACTATTAGTAATTCTATGATTTATTTCGTATTTAGAAGTTTTCTTGCAATTCTAGTGGAGGATAATTCAGGACCATCGCGTGGATAGGGCGACTTAGGGCGCAGATGCACCATGGATGGAGGACAAAAATAAAAAAATATATATACATTATTCATAAAACCAGCGCTATTTCTATCCTTATCCATCTTCGGATTCACTCCTTTTCTGCTCTGCTGGACCTTACTCTAATTAATGCCGGAGGGAGAAGTGCTGAATCCAAGCCGAAATCCTTTGTTTGCCTCAACAAAAAAAACAGAAGACGAAGTTCTTGAAATCGGTTTCTGTGGTCTCATCAACATTGACCTATTAGCATCTAGATCGGAAAGGTATTACTAAAAATTTAGGCTTAGAAATCGATCTGTGTATATGACCGAAAAGTGGTTTAATTGATGTCAATGGTGTTGGCGCTAAAGAGCATACCCGCTAAGTGTAGACGGACGACAGAGATGAGCAGGTCAGGAGCATTATCGGCTCGTGGACTATTTTTTTTGCAGTGCCCAAGCCCTTGTGTCACAGCTAGACCATCCTTACCATCTGTCCATCCACAAAAAGTTTATAGGCGCTAAGGATCTGTCTGCACAATTCGCGACGGGCCCTCTCTCACTTCCAATTCTCTATCGCTTACTCATTCTCTCAATTAGAATATATATTTATACATATAATTGTTTATAATAGTAATTTAGTGAGTAAATAAAGATATATATATATATATATATATATATATATATATATATATATATATATATTTATATTCAATGGCTTAATAAGAGTGACAGAATAATATAAGAAATGTTTGCAAGTAGAACAAAGTTTAAGTATAGTTATAGTCCCCATAACAATTTATATTAGTCTATTAGTTAATTTTATAAGCAATAATTCTAGAAGAGCATTTTAAATTTGGGAGAATACTCAATAACAGAAGATTTATTTTAACTGAAATGTATAATTAAACTTCAAAGCTACAGATTGCGAAGTGGACAGTAGTCCAAACCAAGAGACGTAGAGGTTTGTTCAAATTTCTTATGACCTTAAACGTCTGTAAAGCTAACAGAAAAAAAAAGGGACTGAATTCTTACTCTTCCTAGAGAACCAGTAATGACTTAATGAAATCATTATTTGAATAATCCAAAACAAAATCTGGGGTCTCTCAGATATCACTGACTAAGATGTCAACATTTCAGCGATACAACCAGTGAATGTGAACAGATGGTAGCACTCCCTAAATAATCCCGAATAAGAAAACCCGAGGCAATCTTCTTTTCAGATGCCAAGGAGGGTAATCCGGACTCGAGGAGGAAGCAAGTTTAGAAACAACGGCGTTTGGATTGGTCTAGAGTTATCATTAAAGGATAGGTTTTTTTGATCGGACCAAATTAGAGACGTTATCTCACTTTAACAGCTTAAAATAGTGACTTAATAGAGGTCACTTAATCAGTAAGTTCAACATACAGTTGTTTGTAATAATTAACTGTTCCGCGCTCTTATTCTCGATCCTTCTCACTTTTTCCAGAATATTCCTATTCCTTTTCAAAATTTATCTTGTCTCACTCATCCCTTAGCAATTTACTTCAGTGTTCTGTTAAGATATCCTGACCAATCCGGGCATATTGCCTCTAGCAGACACTAGATGTTTTTGTTACTTTTTTTTTTGTAATTACTTAATTTTTTACTTCAACCCTGACGCTCGTCGCCAATAACGACTGGTCAGCTAATAACCGATTACGATTAGTTAAATAATATTATTATGCTTAATGAGCTAAAGACGGAGGACGAACGGAAATCCATCCAACGAAGCGCTAAGCAATTATCATAATGTGAACAGTGAATAAACTAATTATGTAAGGTGTGAAATGTTTCCCATCTCACCTACATTCATGAATATGAAATATTATAAGTATTATAATATTTACAGTTGTGTGAAGAAAAGTTTTAGAAATAAATTTTATATATATATATATATATATATATATATATATATATATATATATATATATATATATTTATAAAATTTATTTCTGAAACTTTTCTTCACACAACTGTAAATATTATAATACTTATATGTATATGTACATATGTATATATACATATGTATATGTATATATGTATATATATATTTATATATATATATATATATATATATATATATTTTAAACTTCTTTATTGAGATATTACAATCTGTCACATTCAAGGACAATAGTAATAGTGATATAGAGTGGCTCATTCATACCATACAATAAATAAAAATAATAAACGGCAATATAATAATACTAAAATAAATTGTATATAAACTAAAAGATATTAAACTAAATAAAAATAAACCAATCTAACAAAATAAATATTTAAATTCACATATAGTTTTATAGAATATTTACAATATTAAGTCACTCAAGATCTCCGAGCCAAGCCCTTCCCCATCCTCGTGGAGGGAAAGGCAGGACTCTAGAAGATCCTAGCGTCTTTCACTCAGCCGCATCAATGGTATTACCAATTATAAATATATAAAATAAAATAAAAGTAATATTTAAATAAATGTATATGCGCAACACAATAACTTAATAATTTTTAAGATGAATTTAAAAAAATATATATATGTACGTAATTATTGGTGTATTTTTAGTACATTTAAAATTGATAAAGTTCCCCAGAGTAAAGTTCATAACGAGATAGCTAATATTTTCCGAATCAAAGCATCTTCAGGAACAAAACATGGGTTTATATATTAAATAATGATTGGAATTCGGTATAATTATAAAACTTAAGATGCAAGTTGCCCATTTTACTATCCTGTAAAAAACATTTTTCTTTTTGGATCTTATATATTCCTAACACCAAGCCTTTAATATCTAAATCCGGCTTTACACGTTTCCCAAATTTTGGCCACAATAATAGAAAGTAAGAATTGACGATTTAGGGTTAAAATCGGCGTATTTAGAGGTATTTAATATTTGTGCAATAGATTTTTTTATTTTTTTTTTATTCAAATCTTGAAACTTGCATTTAGGGGAGAGGTTACTGTCATATATATGATATGATAATTTAAGTTTAATATTGTTAAAAACTAAGATTAAGAAGGGCACGTAAAAGCTGAAATTGACTATGCTCGTTAAAAAACATTTAAAAGAGGAAGATTTGGGGCTCCAATAAACCATCAAAAATCCCTCTCCTATCCAATCCTTACAATTTAAAATCCAACGCAAAACGCTTAATGATTCTCCCTTTGTCACAAAATTATCCATAATGACTTTACTGTTTCACATGTGGCAGACTTAGCCTAATGACGTCAGGCCCATCCAAACCAACTTGTTTTTAACCTTGTATCCCCTTCGGTTCCTGACAATCCTATACGCATGAAAAGAAGATGGCCTCGGGACCTTCTAATATAGAACTACAATTGGAGTGCTACCAATGTGTGGTTCTACTTCATATTACCAATTCAAATTTACTTATTTTATTTTTAGCTAATACAGTTATAAATTTCATTAAATATTGTATATTTTTTTTGACATTTTAACTTATTTATTGAAAAATATTACAATCTGTCTCTAGAACATTTATAATAGAGTCCACAGATCACATTCACACTCTATGTACAATAAATAAGATAAATTATACAGAAAAAAAATATATATACAATAAATAAGAATAAAATGACCTAAAAATAAATAAATAAAAAGTTTGTATATTAAAAAAAAAAAAAAATAAATAAAAATAGAAGCCACTAATTCTTTCTTTTTCTACTGACTACTGGTTTAAAAAAAAAAGAAGATGGCGTGGATATTATCTTTTCATCAGTCACGTAGGGGGATGAACCAAATTCGTTAACGACGGTAATAACAGGCTTATTTTTTTTTTTTAGAAGAATTTATTATGCAATAACAGCTTATCTCGCCAAGTCTATTAAAAGGTCGAAGCGGGCTACAAATGTGACATTGTGGAGTATAATTTTATAAATGCTTCGTCCCAGCTTCTTTTTTTAAATTTATGTTCTATTTTTTCGAGTGTTAACCAATATTTATTTTCTTGGAGGATCTTGGGAGCTCAGTCAATAAATAAACAAATGTATTTTGGCGATTTTTCGAGACTTTATTATTTTCATAGTCTTACATTGGAAAAACAAACCAGCTGTGTAAAAAAAAAAAAAAATTAACTATTACAAGACCAATAATATTTTAAAAAATGATTTTAAAAACTTGATGAATCTAAAATAATATAACACAGTTAGATATGGCACACTGGAGAAAACTGTAAAAACGAAAAACTATCTTACCTCACTTTATTCTCACTCAATATTAATATAAAACTTTTAGTAGTTCACTGTTGTTTTTTAAAGTAAATTTCGTTGTTTCCTTTAAATTCAATGTAGTATTGTTTGTAATTTTTTTGTTTAATAATTATTATTCCGAAAATTCTCTTATCCATGCTCATATAAGAAATATGAGTCTCAGAACGACGTTAATTTTTTATTAAATCTCTCTCTCTCTCTCTCATTCTCTCTCATTCTCTCTCTCTCTCTCTCTCTCTCTCTCTCTCTCTATATATATATATATATATATATATATACTGTTGTATTCTAAAGTAAATTTCGTTGTTTCCTTTAAATTCAATTTAGTATTGTTTGTAATTTTTTTGTGTAATAATTATT